TGTATTTCCCCAGGTAGCCGTTGTATATCCGCAGCCCCGTTCCTGAACTTTGACTGTACATTTGTATATTCAATAAATAGAAAAAGGAAGTAAAAAGACATTTATTTAGTTATATTATTTTACCGTCGAACTGTTCGACTAACTGACCTGTGTGCTTGTGGGAACTCTGAAGATCTGTTCCAAATGAGAGATTTTGGTGTATGTATACCAATTGACCGATACCCTTACCTTTATTCACAATTAACAACTCTCCTCATTTTGGACACTGTCTTGTGGATATATAACACTCGTAACTAACTGAACGAAAAAAGTTACCAAAGCATGACTAAAGTAGTGCACTAGCCCTCAAAAATATTTCCCAGTAATTAAATTTCAAAGATTATTAAATTACAACTAAATCAGTAATCGAACTGCTCACTAATTTTGATCTCTAACAGGATAAGACATCAATCATTGTCTGAGATTGTCAAGCCTTCCGGACATTCATGTCCGAAGTCTTGTCCTCGGTACGACTGACTTCAGACAGCGATATTGCTAACCGTTGTTCTTACATCACTTAACTGTCTTCCCCCCCCATGCACTCACTCACCCACCCACACCTTTCTTTTTCCAGTCGGTCGGTTCAGTATGATCAATGTGACCAAACACCCGGAGTTGCATATCCGCTCAGTCACTGAGACCGAGTTGGCCGGTCTCGAAGTACGCTGTGTACTCCAGTCCATCGTGGACGAGTCAGTCAAAGTGGAGAGACCAGAACGGGGACGATTACAGCGTTTACAGTTGGGATTCTCGTACAACGAGCTGCGCAGTGTTGGAAGCGAAATCAGCGTCCTACGGGTAGGCAGTCAACAACTTTCGTTCTCATTTCAATGCACGTAACTCGTTTGTTGTTGTTGTACTAATTTAGCGATAAAAAAAGATAAAAACGAAAAGATAACATGTGCCTGCTTACTCTGTTCCCGGTTATTAGATCAGGGTCACTCTCCTAACAATAATACACCACAATTCCGTTTTCAATGATCAGTTGTTATTTTGAGCATTATGTCGATCGATAGCTCTCTTGTTTGGGTTATACTTTCGTGTTCATTGTGACCCGGTGCTGATTGTTTGCTGGACTGTGGTTATCGCCTCTCGGAATGTCTTTAAGGACTGACAACGAGGACAGCGACATCAGTATCTGCTGAGCTGGCAACAATGCATATTTTCATTTCTTAGTAGGTGGTGTATTTAAGCTTCATCTTGTTATTTTCTCCTATCCCAGGGTTCTACGATCGAGCTTCCGTGGGCCGTGGAAGGCGAAGTGCGGGTTCGGGTTGATTGGTTCTATCTCAATGATGCCAGTCGGAATAGACAAACAATTGCCCTGGACTCATCCTCATCTTCCTCAGCATCCGGTGGCGGGGCGAGTGCAACCGGGACCTCGTCCGGTGCACAGAAATCTAACGAACTGTCCTCTGAGTTGTTACGACAGTCGTCCGGGGTGAACAATCGTGTACTTCCATGGGGCACAAAATACGAACTTGTGGATGGTGCCTTTGGGAATTTGCGACTGGTTAATTTGTCCGTGCAAGATTCTGGGCATTATATTGCCGAGTCCGCTCACGGAGCTCGATCACTTCAAGTCAAGTACAGTGTGCGGGTCAGGGGTAAGTAGTCCGAATTGAATTGGATTGAATTGATTGTTTATCACAGATTGTCTGTTACTTGTGTTGATGCTGATCGACATGTCTGGGCAGTTATAATGCAGTTTGCTTACACTACTACTACTACTACCACTAACAAAACATTCTATTGTTAAGATTGTTCTTTGGCAGATTTAAATTTTTTTATATCGATTGTGAAATGTTCAGTAGCCTCGTTGGGATTCAAACACACGCAGGCTACTGAACTTTTCGCAATCGATATAAAAAAACTTCAAATCCGCCAAGCAACAATCTGAACAATTAACTTTGTCTTAGAAGTTCATTCGGTGGATTCCGGTGAATTTTAAGGAAAACCTGTCCGGGAAGTCAGCTTACATGCGATAACTGTGGATGTCATATGTCTCTGTAAGTTGGATGGGTGAATTTAAATGTGAAAAGATCAGTGTGCTATCGGTGTAGCCTCGCTGTAGCTGTTCAGCTGGTAGAGTGTGTGTGCTGTACAAAAGCGTAGGCGGCGTCCATGCGTGTGTGTTCGAGTCCCACCGTGGCTATTGAAATTTTCACAATCGATATAAAAACATTCTATGGTTTGTTTCCAACCTGATTGGTGCGATGCCAATGCATGCGAATGAAAATTCTTGCAAATGTTTCTCCACATATCCATCAATCGCGGGTAATTGATATTGCCTATCACTGTGAAGTTGTCCGTCCCTTCATGAAATTCACATGGCCTTTCTATCTCTCTTCACTTTCCGTGTGTGTGTGTTCGACTGTCAGCTCCGCTCGGTGTGAAAATTACTCCTCAGATGCGAACAGTGGACTGGGGTAGTCGGGTCGAATTGTCATGCGAAGTGACGGGCCATCCCCGTCAACTGGTGTATTGGCTTCATAATGCTCATCTGGTTCCACGACGGCATCATGTACGTACAGTGGTCCCGACAACCTCGTCAGATTCGAACGACCATGTGACGAGTCGATCAAGTGCTGATTCCTTCACCGAACGTCTGATCATCGAAGCGTTCACATTGGAAGATGTGGGCGTGTATCAGTGCATTGCTGAAAATGGACATTCCGCTGAGCGTTTGAGTCTGAGCGCAATGGACTCCCTTGTCCACACACGTGTCACATCTGGTCCACCGGCGACAGATCGAAGAGGTTCCGGTACGGGCACAACAGGTGGTTCGGATACCGAAGGTGGATTCTTTTCGTTTGACGGTCGATCTTCTGCATCGGCTTCTTCGGCTTCGACCGGGACCAGTTCAGTCAGCTCCTCATCCACGTCAACCGGTGAGGGTGTCGGCGATTTGATTGATAATGCTCAGGCTACTGCTCTGCTCACCATGGGTAAAATGAGACCATCACTTACGTGGCAACATCCGGCGGTTGAGGCGAATGCGATTGCCGCGCAAGTGCTTTTGTCCATTCGAACAGGAGTGACAGATGTGATGCTTGAGTGTCGTTTTGCGGCCAATCCGATCCCAAACATCACATGGTATCGTGACGATGAACCGGTACCATTGGATGAGTTTGGAGTGATCAGTCCCCAAGTACTGTCAGACAATCAGACCGCGTACACAACGATCACGCGGTTAACTATCAATATTCGCAAAGTGAGTAACCTCTGTCGAACGAAATTTGTTTTTTTTCTTTTTTTTTGGGGGGGGGGATCGGATGAACCATCCACAGTCCAAAGCTTCTTGTAGCAATTTAAAGGGTTGGTGCATCACCGTAGAGTAGTGCATTCGATGTCTCTATGTTGTTTTCTTAATTTTTAATCCCTGTCCCATTTAACTTGGTGCTGAAATAGAGAGGAAGATCTATCTTGTAGTGTGACGTACTCTCTCTCTCTCTCTGTGTGTGTGTTTGATATACCTTCCGCATCAGTCCAATTAACCGTGGTTGTGGTCTTGTACTTTGCAGACCGACCGATCTTGGACGTTGTTTTGCAGACAGTCAGCTGTTCTGATCCCCCCCTACCCAATTTTACAAAATACAAAAAACAAGATTTGTACAGAATTGAACTCGTCATTCATTTGGTGAGGATCACTCACGCCACGTTCCAGTTTCAGAAGTGGTACGGTTTTTACGAAGCACGCCTAATCGACAGTTGCGGTTTTCCACGACCGGCTCTATGCGCACCGATGAAACCAGTTCTCCGTACGGAAGTGACCGAAAGCAATTAAACAGTAAATTCATGTGATTGAAAATTATTGATTTTCGGAGGCGGTTATCGGTTGCTTTTGCCTACCAGTTTACCACATGGTGTACATACTTCATCGAGTTATGTTAAAAGACAGGGACCAAAAATAGATCCGAAGAAATACTGAACTAAGGGGTTTGTATATTTTGAATACATGTAACCAGTAAAATTCACGACACTGTCATGGTCAAACACATCCAGATTGCCCTGAAGTATACCAAACCGCTTGTAGATGATGGCCCAATGATTTCCACTTGCAGTGTGCTATTTGTTAGCCTTGAGTATGGGGCCGGGGAATGTACACATGCACAGTAAGTACCGTAATCGGGATTATCGACCCACATTTACCCAATTTATCCGGTAATCCTTGCTTTCAGATACCAGATTTAGATGATTTGTGGACTTTCGGTGGTGAATACCGGGCTGTTGCTTTGAATGACTACGGTCAAGCAGACTGTCGCTCATACGTCCTCTTGGAAACCTTACTACGGCTTCGTAAACCGGAGATGTCTAAGCCAGCAATTGCCGGTCGAGCGTATACGATGAAATGCTACTTTATCGGTAGCGGAATCCCATCGGTGAGTTTTATTCACGCGATCAGTCTGATGATGAGAACCTGGGTTCATCACTTTTTTTATGTAATCGTTTATTCTTTCGATTTGTAAGTGTCATTGTGAATTGGTTTAGCACCGCGTAATTAGTGACAAGAGAATAGCATTGTGACTGATTGTCACTGAGGCACAGTAGATTCTGAGCTGATAGACTCGAAAAATATGGACGGTCTGTCAGTGTACGCGAGCACGACAGGCGTGTGAACCAACCACACGATCAGCTATGTGAATCTGATTGGGCGACCGTTGATCGTTAGATGATGGCCCAATCGAACAGCAAGTCAGCGGCACAACCTTATGGGCTTGTTCCCATCTACTTGGTTGATGGATTCTTACAAACGTTTGTTTGACAACAACTCACTCCGCCATCACTTTCTGGTCTTGACCTTTATCGCTCTCATGCAGTCGAGACAGAAACGGAAAGACTCATTTCACGAGGACTGCGCTAGTAACTTGTTACCAGACTAATTTGGGGTACACAGAAAAAATCATGTGATTAGGACCAGGGTGGTCATATTTTCATGAAAGACTCCGGATTGGTGGTCAAACAGTTCAACAGTGAGAATCACGTGTTGTGTATCTACACACGGAATCCACAATTCTGCTTCTGTCTACAAGCTATTTCAATGTGCACTCACGAAAATACTACTCACGTACAGTTTGAGTAGTACCGTACCACTGGATGAGCGGTGTAAGTTGTTACTAGGGCAGGCCACTGTAGAGTAATTATAGTTTCCGTAATGTGTTACCTTACAATTTCTTGTAACACACCGTTTGATTAATTCTTTCATTATTCATCGATCGTTAGCGTAAGGTACATTTCTTTTCTCTTTTTTCATTATGATCATTATTTACCAACCGCAGCTCCAGTGGCACCGGATAAAAATGGGTGATGTCCAACGAATCCCGGTCGATCATCGGCATCAGCTGCTCGAAGACGGTCGAGCGCTACGTATCACTGAAGTGATGCAAGAGGAAGATGAGGCCGACTATCGATGCACGGCAACTCTGGGGGAAATGGTAGCGAACATGACTGTACGGTTGAAAGTGTCACGTGAGTTTCCGTTTTTTTTTTAAATTTTTTTTATTGTGTTCAACGCGTGGCAGATTATATCTGATCTCATACTGATTCATTTTTGATCGTACTGCCAAGTGATAAACGTTTGTTGTTGCTTTTGTTCTTAAACATGCTTGTAAATTATAAATCACATAAATCATCCTCGTGTTGGAGTCAGTTCCGATTGGACTTCGCTACAAAACTATTTGACCTCTCGTTTTTCTGTGTTGATTTGATGATATATCGTATTTCACCTATGGGAGTTGGCCAAAAATCCTGTTTCCAAACCAACCAAGAGGAGGCCCACACGACCCACACTCACCTACACCCTCCTCGGTGTGGCAGTGGTCAACGGTTCAATTGGGCATCAAGGTGTATTGGTCACCTTGGACGTTTGATCCGGTTAACTAGACACTGGCCCCCAATGGATTGCGGTTTTTACACGCTGCTCCGCTGCTTTGCGGGTCAGGCTTTGGATAGCCAAAGGCTCTGGTTGTAGATTCCCCAAGAAAATTCGCCTACCTTGGCCTGGGCAAACTAGCTGCATCGCGCTCTCGAGCAACTCATGGAACGTGTTCCTTTTTTATGAATAATATTGTACCATTATTACTATTTGCTTGGCACACAGTCTGTGAAATATAATATAATACTTTATAGAATCGAACCCCAGCAGAAGCGCTACTGAAAGTTTTGATCTTCTTTCTCTGTTAGCCCAAATTTGACCAAATGTCGTTCGCTAAATTTGCCAACAAAACACTAGCTTTTTCACAACGAGAAAGTATAAAACAAATAGATTGTTTGGTCAGGTCGATACATCTTTTTCGTCTATAGTTCACATTACCGGGCTGATCTTATGCGATGCCGAATTCTTCCGTTGTGCACGGTAACCAGTTGTGGTCCCCACCCCACCCCCTATACACCCTGGCGGTGATACAAATCTCTCATGTCAGAACTCTGATTGATGAGTTTGGGTTGGAACTAGACATTTTTAAGCCCATCATTTGAACCACACAAACTCTATGATTCACTTCTAGTCACATATTCTATACATGTGCCATGCGTGGCATTATCTTGCTCCAAATCAATTTCATTCTTTAATTATTTTGAAATCCCTTTTATTTAATAAAAAAACTGCACAGATTTCATGAAAGTGGGTGGGGGGGNGGGCGGGGGTACAGTCATTAGGGCGCTGGGCAGCTGGAGAAAAGCTATGTGACTTAGAGTACGCTGATGACACCTTTTGTCTGTTCGAATGTGTGAAGGATGTGCAATGCGCTCTTGACAGACTTTCAAGTTCGGCAACTCCATTTGGTATGCACTTAGCACCCTCAAAGTGCAAAGTGATGCTACAAGATTGGGTGTCGTCTACCCCGGCTCTGATGCTTGACGGTCAAGAAATAGTTATAATGGATTGTTTCTCTTACTTGGATAGCTGCTTGACAAATGACGGTAGTATAGTCAAGGTAGTAACCACTCGCATTTCCAACACTCGAGCGGCGTACGCAACACTTCAACACCTTTGGTGTCGACATGATGTTTCGTAGAAACTGAAGGTCGTGTATAGTGCGCCAGTGTGCGGTCAGTTGTACTGTATGGTTGCGAGACCTTAAATTTGCGAGTGGAAAATATTCATCGTCCAGAAGTCTTCAGTTGACGATGTTTACGTAATTTAACGCGGGTTGGATGGAGCGAGCGTCTAACCAACTCTGAGGTTAACCCGTACGTCGCGTATTTGGTAATGGTTCGTTGGAAAATTATCACAGAATCCAAATCAGTAGACTTTTACTAGTCAGGTTGTGTACTGAGTATGTCCAGCTGTTGTCCACCTCATCGCGGTTCCGGGGTGAAGGAAACCACGTGGAGGTCAACAGATGACCTGGGAACGAGGTATGAGGATTAGGTAGAGAATAGGTGTCTCCTGTCTTCCAAGTTGGGGTCCGAAAGACTCTGCAACTGGCCGGTTGGAGACACTGAATGATACGGCAGCGAACCGACAGCAATGGCATTGTTTTTGTCATTTCTTACCAGGCCAGAATGCTTGAAAAGGTACGTATGAGCGGTTAGATTGTGCCCTCTCTGTGTTGATTATAGAGATTCACCTTCTTCCCCCTCCACCCAATTAAGCCCAAACCCAATCTATCTCGTACTTTCTCAATTAATGTGTACATTAGGAGCTTGGCAACGATCAGCGAAGTTCGCTTATCTGTATCTCGCTGTACGATGATGATGAAACGCTGCCTGAGGACACATACATAAGGGATAAGTCTGACGTTGTTGGTGGGATTCGAGGAGATGTCCTCCAGAGTGATAAGTTGGCACCTTTACCACATGATCACTAAAGCCCACAATACACAGTGTACGACATAATTGTGGGAAATGTTTTTAAGTGTGAATGTGAAATGTGAAATCAATAAGTCCATTCAATACCAATTTTCTATTGTTCAGATTTGTACAGTTAGTAATCATTTGAATTCCTCTTTTGAGAGACAGATTGTATAGCGGTAATCAGACTGTGATGAGGGTCGAACCAACGGACCTCCATTGGGCCTTTTATGTGTGTTGACAACTGCTTCGTTTGATCTTTTTAAGCCCAATCACGGCTCGTTTGTAAGCTAATCGATCGATCCCTTCGCTCCGTGCCAAGCCCATCACGTGTCACACTGGTATGGACGCGCGAGTACACATGTAAATTGCACATTTGCATGTCATCGACTGACCACACCAGGCCACCTTCGCCCCCGCCTCAACAACCATCACCATCACTGTCAAACTATGGGCGGGTTGGGCTAAAGCTAGGTCAGGCCTACACCACCATCACCACCACCACATAACTTTGGTATATGGCGCTGCTGCGGTTTTTCTATTTTTTGTCACTCCCACTTTCGTGCTTGATTAAGTAGCTTTCTTTGTACTACTGCAATCGTGTGCGGTTGCCTATTTGGCACGATTCTCTTGCGAGGTTTCCAACGTACACTGTAGGGGCCGTCCGTACTGATTGCACCATACCCTACAGTAAAGGGCTTGTTGGCATGCTCGTGTCCAAGTACGTAGTACCTGCGTGAACTGAGGGCTGGACGATTTACAGTGTGAACGACGTACATATGTGTTTACTTTGCGGTCAAATGAACACCGGGAATCATCGACACATGTGCTCGCAACCGATCGTTGAATTTGGCATTGGTCATTATAAACAGTTCCTCTTTCCGGTGTTTTATGCAAAGATTTTCGTTTCTTTTACTTAGAATTTCTGTGAGGGGGAAAATCAGTTGTCTTTGGAATTGGCGTACTCACTCACTGATTCTCACTCACCCACTCACTCACTCACCCACTCACTCACTCACTCACTCACTCACTCACTCACTTACTCACTCACTCACTCACTTACTCGTTCAGTCAGTCAGTAAGTCAGTCAGTCAGTCAGTCAGTCACTCACTCACTCAACCATACTGTGTAAACGAGAGTGACTAGGGAAACCATATGTACCAACTCGATTCACTCTGAGTATTGTCCATTTCGTTGATAAATTTCCACTGCTTTGTTGAAATTTTTTCATATCACGCGACCTATCACATTGTGGTCCCGAGTTTCTTCATTTGTAATCCCATTTGCTACCGGTTTCTGTTGTCCAATAACGAGTACTGCCATGTTCATCCATGGATGGATGTTTATTTTCTTATCTACTGAATGTCATTAAGTTACGATGAGTGCAACTAACAGTGTGTGTTCGCATCATTAAGCAAGTACGCAAATAATTCTCGCTCGTATTTTCGATAGAATTTAGACCGTTTTCGGGAACAATCTGGTACGAGGTGATCTGGTGCTAAAGGTCAACGAACCACTTACCGTGTGTTTGTTTACATTTCGGGGCGTTCTTTTCTTGACTATACATTGAACATTTATCGTTGGATAGGAATACTGTTACTATTTTGAATAAAGAAGCCAAAAACACAGGTTTGCACAATGTATCCCCTGGATCATTTCGCTGCATCTGTACACGTGTGCATACTGCAGTCTATGTAATCGTTAAAATATATGCCCAGTAAATAACAGAATCATAGGCGGAAAAAGATTGCGGTCAAAATTACTCAACAAACACATTTGTTACCAAGGTAGCCGCTCCAGAGTGATAAGCTATTCACGCTGTTTACACAGTTTGGGATGGTAATTTTGAATGACTAGTACCTCGGCGTATTTCAGAACCTTGGTGTTGTTTGTGTTGTAGAGGATTCTGCACGCATCGCGCAGCATGACACAGTGTTTCATTTCGACCAGGTGTTGTGTGACGAACTGAGTTTCCTACACGTCATTGGATAGATACTATTGTACTATACTATAGATACTATTGTTAGTTTGGAGAACAGGCGAAAGAAAGCTCACAAACTTGTTAGTTTAAAACGATGAGGAAGTGGGGTAGGGTGGGGTGGGGGTGGACAGGATTTCTGTGCTCGATTTTCGTGTATAAACAGTACACAGCTGAATAGGAGTTAAAAATTTCAACCAATCACAATGCGGCTCAAGGTGTTCTGTAGTGCGTGTTTCCCGTTCACACAGCACATACCAATTAAATCTTTGCACTTTTTCCGCGATCAGATAGATAAAAAGTAGAATGGGGACGGTTTAGCCCACAAATACGTCCCCGTAAGCGGCCAATCGTTAGGGAAATTCTCAGTAACCGATATGTGTGCCTTAAACGTCGGTTGAAATTGTTGTGAAAAGTTTATGGCAGCACCGGTCAAGAGGTATGACATGATTGGACTAAAACCAATCTTAACACGAGAGATCATGGATCGGGCACTCAACTTCTAATTGCTACCCTCAATTTCTACCCTAGGTGATCTGGAGAACCGTGGTGATAAGACCAAATCTTATCATCCGTATGAAGACTGTGTTCTTGGAGCATCGCTATTGCTCCATGGGAAGGTGTGATAGGACTCTTGTAAAACACCGTGGGTGACCTCTACTTGTATCCACGCTTTTACGCTTCCTTATTCGAATGTTGCATCTTTATTTGGTAGTGGAGATCGGAAATTGGTTGATATACGAGTATATCGTGACTACTCACTTATCAATCTCTTTTTTTTAAACTGTTTTTTTTACACGCAAATGATTTTTTAAAAATAACATGAATTTAAAAGAGACCGCAGATTGGTTCCCCGAATGAATGCGGCTTCCATCAGATACGGTTAGACCAACTATGTAAAAATCCCCTTCGTTTATTATTGCGGATCGCGGGGCGTCAATACATTCGTTGGTTGTTTACTGGTTCTGGTGGTGGTAGTCGTAGTATTGATAGCTGAACTGATGTAGTGAGGCACTACTCACATGGGTTGTAAGTAGTATTTTGTGCGCTCACAGCTCGCCGTGTCTCACAACATCTCTGAGCGGAAGCAGAATAATCGATTCCGTGCGTAGCCGCAACTTACGTGAGCAAACTGTCGGACCGATTGAGCACCAATTCGGAGTTTTTCGTGAGAACACGACTACTCTGTTTGGTTCTATGCAATCCGATTCTCTGTCATTGAAAATGGTTCTCACAGAAAAAACAATTTCTCAGCTCGTTGATTATAGGAATTTGGATTATCTCGTCCGTATAATTCTTAGTTCTTAATTCGAGGTCCTAATTTGATTTTTCTAATTCTAAAAAGACAACGCCGACCGAACTCAGCTGGTTATCTTACCGATTGTATGTGTACCAATGGGTGGGGAAGGGGTTGTGAAACTACTGCGGATTTATCGAAATGACGTAACACAGTCAATATTCAGTTGCAGCCTGTTGTCTGGCTAGTATCGCTTAGACGGGATTCTGAGCTCTTTTACATACCCAGATCTCTATCTCCTTTCCTTCTGCCAATATCATTATACGAGACTATATTGGCTGATTGATGGATAGACAGTGAACAGACAGTGGATTAGAGTTACCGAGCTTCGCTTTTGCCCACCGGCTAGATGGGGCACATGATTTTTGCTTATTCGTGTGGTTTGCTGCTTCCACAGCTTCTGCTGCTTCTGTTTCTCTTGATCGAGTTTTTTTCTCGAAAAGCGAATTTCCCTTCGCCGCTTGTTTGAATGCTCGTTGTGTGTCAAAAATAGTCTAAATTTGAGCAAGAGCATATTGCCTGGTTCAGCATTCGGGGAAGTTGAATGTACTCCTCAATAGAAGTAACAAATTAGCGGTTTGCTATATCATCATTATGAATATTATTGAGCCGGGTACTGTCGATCACTGTTGCATCGCATAGGCCTCATCGACTGATTGTGGGCTATTCCATTTCACCACACTCATCATTCATCGGACATTTATGGTTGTTTGAAGATCTGGGGATGAGCAGTGGGTGCTAGTCGCTTGGCTAGTATCCTTCCCATAAAACGTCACAACAGCC